ATCCATATGTATTTTGAGTCTCCTATTTTGTAGTTCAGACTAAACTACACTACATTAAATTGCAAAATAAAGATTACAGGATGGGAGAGGGCTTCCAATATTAGAAAATTCATCTCTCATCTAATAGTTAATGTTGTATAATCTAGCATAATTTGAATTGCACAACATTTTTTTTAGATTTTTTAATGTGAACCACTAATTAGTAAGAGAAAAAGATTAACCTCCCAGGAGTTGAGTTCAAATCCCCGCAGATCAGTATAGGAATATTCTGTGATTGGGCAATTTCTTGCAGTTTATGGATAAGGGTGGTAACCTAGGTATAGAAATGAAGTAATTGTTAGAACTTTTTTTTTTTTTTCAATCTAGAGAAAAGGAATGAATGAATTACAGATATCTCTAGAAGTAATTACCCACCTGAAATACTCTTACATCAGTGTGGTTCTTTCCGGCGCATAGATGGGTATTTGCCTACAGGTTTAAAATTAAGCATGACTCCAGCCATTTTTTCTTTTATCAACAATAGATAATTGCATTAATATAAAGAGTAATTAAAGGGGATTCAATCTTTACAATAAAAAATGATTATAAAGAGATAAAAGTTCCTGTTCGATGACCAACATATACATAAACAATGATAGGGATATAACCAACTACGTAATACAGTGTAAACATCAAAATCAATTCAAACAATAGAAAAACACAGAACAACTAAGTTACTAAACCAAAGGAGCTATAACCCCGAGTATCACCATATAAGGAAAAGCCTTTGATGTCTTCAACAACACAAGCTAATTAGGCTAATGAATCACATTCAGAGCATCAACCAAGCAATAAATCATTGCCCACTTGCAAACATTGTAATGCATATTCTTTAGGACTGACAGCAGTGTTTCAAGTTAAGAATATGCAATGACAGTGTTTGCATGCTTAGATATTTGACAACCCTAAAAGACTATTCTTTAGGATTGAGACTCCAATCATTGAATGAATACACTAGCCATCCAACATTCCTTTTTCACTTGTCAAAAAGGAAAAAATGAAGTAATAGGACTTAATCAAAATATTAGGATACTATCATCAAGACAAGAATTAGCCTTCTCCATATACTTCCTCCATTACTTGTCACAATTTTTTTTTTGCACATATATTAGGCTATCATATTTTTATAATAATATATGTAACAAAAAAAGTAAAGTGTAGTTCATCCTATGTAGATGGATTACATTTTTTATAATTATTAATAAAAGAGTAGGTATGTTAATATTA